TTGAGGTAGTAATCATCCAAGATTCCTTCATCATCATCCTGCTAAGGTAGTACTCATCCAAGATTCCTTCATCATCCTGCTGAGGTAGTAATCATCCAAGATTCCTTCATCATCCTGCTGAGGTAGTAATCATGCAAGATTCCTTAATCATCCTGCTGAGGTAGTTATCGTCTAAGATTCCTTCATCATCCTGCTGAGGTAGTAATCGTCCAAGATTCCTTCATCATCTTGTTGAGGTAGTAATCATCCAAGATTCCTTCATTATCCTGTTGAGGGAGTAATCTTCCAAGATTCCTTTATCATCCTACTGAGGTAGTAATAATCCAAGATTCCTTCATCATCTTGTTAATGTAGTAATCGTCTAAGATTGCTTCACCACCATCCTGTTGTGGTAGTAATCGTCCAAGATTCCTTTATCATCCTACTGAGGTAGTAATCATCCAAGATTCCTGCATCATCCTGCTGAGGTAGTAATCGTCCAAGATTCCTTCATCATCCTGTTGAGGTAGTAATCGTGCAAGATTCCTTCATCGTCCTGCTGAGGTAGTAATCATCCAAGATTCCTTCATCATCTGTTTGAAGTAGCAATTGTCCAAGATTCCTTCATCGTCCTGCTGAGGTAGTAATCATCCAATATTCCTTCATCATCATGTTAAGGTAGTAATCGTCCAAGATTCCTTCATCGTCCTGGTGAGGTAGTAATCATCCAAGATTTCTTCATCATCTGTTTGGAGTAGCAATCATTCAAGATTCCCTCATCGTCCTGGTGAGGTAGTAATCATCCAAGATTCCTTCATCATCTATTCTGATTAGCAATCGTCCAAGATTCCTTCATCGTCCTGCTGAGGTATTAATCGTCCAAGATTCCTTCATCATCTGTTTAGAGTAGCAATCGTCCAAGATTCCTCCATCGTCCTGCTGAGGTAGTAATCGTCCAAGATTTCTTCATCATATGTTTGGAGTAGCAATCGTCCAAGATTCCTTAATCGTCCTGCTGAGGTAGTAATCATCCAAGATTCCTTCATCATCTGTTTGGAGTAGCAATTGTCCAAGATTCCTTCATCGTCCTGCTGAGGTAGTAATCATCCAAGATTCCTTCATCATCTTGTTGAGGTAGTAATCGTCCAAGATTCCTTCATCATTCTGTTGAGGTAGTAATCGTCCAAGATTCCTTCATCATCATCCTGCTGAGGTAGTAATCATCTAAGATTCCTTCATAGTCCTGTTGAGGTAGTAATCGTCCAAGATTCCTTCTTCATCTGTTTGGAGTAGCAATCATCCAAGATTCCTTCATCGTCCTGTTGAGGTAGTAATCATCCAAGATTCCTTCATCATCTGATTGGAGTAGCAATCGTCCAAGATTCCTTCATGATCCTGCAGAGGTAGTAATTGTCCAAGATTCCTTCATCATCTGTTTAGAGTAGCAATCTTCCAAGATTCCTTCATTGTCCAACTGAGGTAGTAATCATCCAAGATTCCTTCATCATCCCGTTGAGGTAGTAATCGTCCAAGATTCCTTCATCATCCTGTTGAGGTAGTAATCGTCCAAGATTCCTTCGTCATCATCTTGCTGAGGTAGTAATCGTCCAAGATTCCTTCATCATCCTGTTGAGGTAGTAATCATCCAAGATTCCTTCATCATCATCCTGCTAAGGTAGTTCTCATCCAAGATTCCTTCATCATCCTGCTGAGGTGGTAATCATCCAAGATTCCTTCATCATCCTGCTGAGGTAGTAATCATGTAAGATTCCTTAATCATCCTGCTGAGGTAGTAATCGTCCAAGATTCCTTCATCATCCTGCTGAGCTAGTAATCGTCCAAGATTCCTTCATCATCTTGTTGAGGTAGTAATTGAAACAACTGGATGAAAATCATCAAACAATGAAGTCGCCATCGAACGTCTTTTATCCCACATGAAGGGAAAGGTAAACATCGAGAAAACCTGATGAGGGAGAAGTCACGGTCGAACGATCAAGAGATCGGGTAAGGGAGTCTGTTACGCGAGGGGAAGGTATTAGCACCCCACGCGCCCGTAGTATTCTACAGTATCCACTCTTGTTGTCTATCTTATGGGTGTGTTTAATCTATGCTTATTGTTTATTACTGCTAAAGGGAGAATGCATGCAAAAGAAAGGAGAAAAGAATGTAGGGAAAAGAAAAGTTGTGCTCGTTCGGGCCCTACCCCGATGCCTACGTATCCCTTTTAAGGAATCAGAGCAGCCGTAGTTCGGCTTACATGTTTTTGTTTATTTTTATTTTTTACTGAACAGTATTAATTTCGCCTTCTGCCGCAACTCGACCTTTGGAGATTTACGCGTCAGCACAGAAGTGAATTAATACGCTCTTTTGAAAAGGGTTTGAAAGAAAGGCCCGAAGGCAAAAAAAGATTTTTATGTTTGTTGGTGTTTTTCGCTTGTAGAGAATGGCTAGTTGATCTCAAAGGAGAGATTTTAGCCACGTCTCTACTTATTCATGAAATGAGTCTTTGAGACTTGAACCACACCAAAGCTTAGAATAAGAGATCAATAAGGTCGAGAAGAGACCCGCTTATCGTCTCACATACTTAACGAAGATATGATTCTCGTCAGTAAATTTTTATGTGCTTTTGAAGTTTTTAAAAAAGGAGAAGTTTTTGTTTTAACTGCATATACAAAAAAAAAGGAAGAAAAGTCACTAGCCTATTTCTAACTCTAATTTTATCATGCATTGTTAGACCTAAGTCAAGTATGAGTGAAAGAAAAACATCTACCTAATGTTAGCATGCATATGGTTTGCGATAAAGAAATGCAATAAAGTGCGAAATGAGGGATAAAATAAGGCCACGATGATACCGAACGGAGAAGGTCCGTTGCCTTTTCAAAGTCACACAAGTGATAAGAAAACTCTACCGAAAGCTGCTCCGCATGAGTGATCATAGAATTAATCTCCAAGCATTCCATATTGCAAGAATTACATCGATGCCATATCACAAAATCCTGGCTAAAAAAATGACAATGAAAATGATCATCAAACATGAAAATAGTAGAAAACTCTAATCACACATCTAAAGAGAATTTCTAATATCAATAAGAATCTCTACTATTTTTGTATCTCTTTTATCATCAAAGTTATGAGAAAAATATAATAAGGAGAAAAAAAATTAAATCTAAAACAGAGAGGTGTTAAAATCTGGATTAGGGTGCATAATGCTAGGCCCATAGGAGATAAACTAATAAGCCATTTTTTTGAACCAGCTTTAGTTTCCAAAACAAAATAGTGGTGGGCCTAGTGGAATTCGGCCCATTCTCCAACTCCAATTCTATTTCATCCTTCAGCATAATGCACTGACAATAAAGATTAAACAAAATTAAAATTAAAGAAAGAATAAGGGAACAAGGTGTCGTTTTGTGGAAGATTTGTGTTAGGGTTGAAAAATAGTGATATTCAGTTCTCTTGTCCCTCTCCTTCCACACAGAAACGGCGCGGTCGTTCCTCTCACCATCTCTTCTTCAACCTGAACCCACCATCTACAACTCTCTGTCTTCTTCAAGCTTTTCTAATAACATATCCAAACTCTCTCTTCGTCTCTATCTCTTATCAACACAAATCACGGCGCCGCTTCCGTTCACCGGCGAAGACCCCGGCGGCTGCATCAACGGCTGAACAGGAAGCTTCACCTTAACCTTCGGCTTAGAAGACGAACTAGAAGATTGCACTACGACCTTCTTCTTTGATCGAACTCAAATCGTGATGATCCTCTTCTTCTGGCGTCATTATATCAAGGTTTGTGATTCAGCCTCGCTTTTCCTCTGATCAATCTGCAACGGGTTCAAGGACCTCTTCCCCGATCTAAATCAAACAATAGCGCCACCTCTGGGTCTATCATAGAAGACTCATTCTCTCTTCAACGATCGCGTCAGCCTCTTTCACTTCATTCAGGTTTGATTTTCTCTGAAATCCTATCAGACGCTAGGTGTTGTTGTTTATTATTGAATTTGCGTGAGTTTGATGTATTGAGGTTATGCCCATAACTTGAAAGTGAATGAATAGGTTCGATTGTAGATGATGAAAGATGACGATGATGAATTAAGTTAGAGCTAAGCAGGAATAAAGTGCGATGAATATGGTTGATGCGCTGATACGGTGGAGATTTGTTGATGAGGAGTTGCGGAAGATGACAATGGTGATTGAAGCTGACGAAGGTGATGATGATGATGTGCACTGCAGAATTGATGTTGTATAAGATTGGAGGGAGCTTTTGCCGGTGAATGAAGGTTGAAGAGAGAATGAAGAGTGAAGTTTCTGGTTTTTCTTGTATGGTTCTTTAGAATGTGAAGAATGAAGCAGCGGGAGAGAGAGAGAGAGAGAGAATTTTCAGATCTCTTTTTTGTGATTCTCCAAGGAGTGTTGAAGAATGATGAAGATGAGGATGAGAGGAGGAGAGAAAGTTTCTTGGTGATTCTTCTGCAGAGATTTAAAGAATCAATGTGAATTGGTAAGTTTCTATAGTTAAATCTATTATGTATGAGTTAAAAAATAATGAATCTCCCCCTGTTATATAGCTATCAAAAATCTGTTAGAAAGCAGTTAGTTATTGTTAGTTGGTTATCTAGAGTTAGTTATAGAATTGGTTAGGAGTTAGTAACTGTTTAGAGTTAGTTAGAAAATTTTGCATTCTGTTAGAAATTTTGGTTAGAAGTTTGTTATGGTTACAAGTTAGTTTAAGAGGAATTCTGTTAGTAATCTGTTTTGGAATGGTTAGAATTCTGCTTTGTTACAATTTCTTAGAACTGAACTGTTAACTGTTTATTGATTTTTGCTTTTTAATCTTTCTATGCAGGGCTGAACTGGTTGCTTTTATATTGGGTTCAAATTTTCCATTTAGCTTACAAAATAAGTTTTCTTTAAAACTAGAAGGATCCCTATGTCGGGGGTTTAAAGTCCGTATCGTAATTTCAACCGATGGATGGCATCGCGAAGCTTCCTCAGCAACGTTGCCTGCTGACCCGCCACAAAACATCCTAACTCTCCTCTTCTCCAGCACCTTTTGCACCAAGCAATAGATATATACCTCCATCCCTTAACAACAATTCAATTAGAAGATACTTCAACCTCAAGTTTCTCTGCCTTTGCTGATCAACATTACCTCTACCAGTCCATGACAACTGCCCGCCACCAACCGCAGCAGCAGCTTGTGCATAATATTCTAGTGCCATCTGGAGATCACCAAGGCGCAAATACATAGATCCATATTTCCTAACAATGGTGGCTACTTCTGTGTAAGCATCCATTGCCCCCCAATTTTTTTCCAGTACCGACCCCTTCAGAAAGGACCCTGTGATCAGCTAGCACAATTGATAGGTGGGCAGCATCAATGTCCTTCATCTCCTGTTTCCTTAGACAGGTATAATACAGCCGGAAGCAATTAAATGCTTAAAAGCAAGGTATAAGAATATACCAAAGGATCTTTTTCCATTTTTTGTATAGTATGATGATTCAAATTTATTTAGGTAACTTTGCAAATCATCCAAAGTGTATGGAATCACACTGTCACTTAGAACAAGGGATGAAGATCCACTTGGGCAGTCCCATACAACCGACAATTTGAACCACAAGAAATCATCTATCGAACTAAAAAGATTTTGTTGATCTCTAAGCAGGTAATCAATATGCCTTCGAGAACCTGATATGATGGCATGATTGCTTGTATTGACTTGGATTTTTTTGTATGAATGTGCAGGTCATGAATTGAAGGTGAAGAACTTTGGCATGGCATGGAATTGGAAGTTTACTCATGGAATTTTAACAACTTTAGGACTAAGGAATTTTGTTCAAGTGTATTTTGTAACCGTTTTCTTTTCTTTGTAGAATATTGGTGTAATGGGATTGTAATGATTTTATAATGAATGTTTGATTTGGATGAACTTGAAATTTATAGTGTGAATTGTAAATGACCTTTGAGCTTGAAATGTTGGGTGAAATTTTAAGGACGGGGTTTAAATGACAAAGTCTTGAAAAAATGCTTGAAGACATGAAAGCATCAAATTTTCTTGTAAGGTATTGTTACACTTGAATGAAATTGAATGGAATTGGATAGTATTTTTTGAATCATGAACAAAAGGGTTCGAATAAACTTTGAACACATGTGAACTTGAATCTGGAATAACGATGAACATCTTTGTAATGCGTATGAACTCCAACTTGAAACAAAACCTAGCAGTCTGTACTTTACCTTCCAAGAAAACCATATGACCAATACTTAAGGCTCTTTGTCGACCAAACACTTTCGAACATCTTGAACTCAAATCAAACTTCAAATCCAAATCACACTTGCATTCTCAATGATCTCCTAACTTCAATCTTAAACCCAAATCAACTTGAAATGACAAATAATTTGAATAGTCAATAAGATCTTGATCAGATGGATAATAAAGTCTTAATCACAGAAGAATTCCCTTGACGTGAAACCTCACAATCTTGATTCCCCGTTTAGATGCACAGAGAAATATTCGGATAAAACATCTTTGAACCGCGATTCAACAAAACCTAAATTGATTAACTGAGGAGTAGATGAATGTCATGTCACAGTCATTAATCCTAATCAAATGACAAGCATACTTATAGGAAAGGATGCCATGCTTCAAAGTCCACATATGCTAGGTCACGTCCTAGAGTTCTTGACTAGAATGACCTACAACCAGTTGTTCATCAAAAGATATTAGCCCAGTAACTTGGTGGAGAAGAAGTCCAGAAATGAGCCTAACAAAAACCTAATTCCAAAGCTTGTTGCATGAATAAGAAATCATCATTTATTGGATACAAGCGCCTTAACCACTGTGAAACCCTAGTATCGCACAACCACTGAACTTTGAACCTCAGAGCTATATTGAATGAAATGTATGCCATGTTAGTGACCTAATGAAATAGATGCAGATGAATGCAAAAGTCTAAGCCAAAAAAGTGAAATTAGGAGGGCAAATTTTGGGGTGCAACAGTAATCATCCAAGATTCCTTCATTATCTTGTTGAGGTAGTAATCTTCCAAGATTCCTTTATCATCCTACTGAGGTAGTAATCATCCAAGATTCCTTCATCATCCTGTTAATGTAGTAATCGTCTAAGATTCCTTCATCATCATCCTGCTGAGGTAGTAATCATCTAAGATTCCTTCATCGTCCTGCTGAGGTAGTTATCATCCAAGATTCCTTCATCATCTGTTTGGAGTTGCAATCGTCCAAGATTCCTTCATTGTCCTGCTGAGGTAGTAATCGTCCAAGATTCCTTTATCGTCCTGCTGAGGTAGTAATCATCCAAGATTCCTTCATCATCTGTTTGGAGTAGCAATTGTTCGAGATTCCTTCATCATCCTACTGATTTAGTAATTGTCCAAGATTCCTTCATCATCTATTTGGAGTAGCAATTGTCCAAGTATCCATTATTGTCCTGCTGAGGTAGTAATCGTCCAAGATTCCTTCATCATTTGTTTGGAGTAGCAATTGTCCAAGATTCCTTCATCATCCTGCTGAGGTAGTAATCATCCAAGATTCCTTCATCATCCTGATGAGGTAGTAATCGTCCAAGATTCCTTCATCATCATCCTGCTGAGGTAGTAATCATCTAAGAGTCCTTCATCGTCCTGCTGAGGTAGTAATCGTCCAAGATTCCTTCATCATCTGTTTGGAGTAGCTATCATCCAAGATTCCATCATTGTCCTGCTGAGGTAGTAATCGTCCAAGATTCCTTCTTGATCTGTTTGGAGTAGCAATCGTCCAAGATTCCTTCATCATCCTGCTGAGGTAGTAATCGTCCAAGATTCCTTTATCATCTATTTGGAGTAGCAATCGTCCAAGATTCCTTCATTGGTCAGCTGAGGTAGTAATCATCCAAGACTCCTTCATCATCCTGTTGAGGTATTAATCGTCCAAGATTCCTTCATCATCCTGTTGAGGTAGTAATCGTCCAAGATTCCTTCGTCATCATCTTGCTGAGGTAGTAATCATCCAATATTCCTTTATCATCCTGTGGAGGTAGTAATCATCCAAGATTCCTTCGTCATCATCCTGCTGAGATAGTACTCATCCAAGATTCCTTCATCATCCTGCTGAGGTAGTAATCATCCAAGATTCCTTCATCATCCTGCTGAGGTAGTAATCGTCCAAGATTCCTTAATCATCCTGCTGAGGTAGTAATCATCCAAGATTCCTTCATCATCATGCTGAGGTAGTAATCGTCCAAGATTCCTTCATCATCTTGTTGAGGTAGTAATCGTCCAAGATTCCTTCATTATCCTGTTGAAGTAATAATCGTCCAAGATTCCTTTATCATCCTGCTGAGGTAGTAATCATCCAAGATTCCTTCATCATCCTGTTAAGGTAGTAATCGTCTAAGATTCTTTCATCATCATCCTGCTGAGGTAGTAATCATCTAAGATTTCTTCATCGTCCTGCTGAGGTAGTAATCTTCCAAGATTCCTTCATCATCTGTTTGGAGTAGCAATCGTCCAAGATTCCTTCATTGTCCTGCTGAGGTAGTAATCGTCCAAGATTCCTTCATCATCTGGTTGGAGTAGCAATCGTCCAAGATTCCTTCATCGTCCTGCTGAGGTAGTAATCGTCCAAGATTCCTTCATCATCTGTTTGGAGTAGCAATTATTCAAGATTCCTTCATCGTCCTGCTGATTTAGTAATCGTCCAAGATTCCTTCATCATCTGTTTGGAGTAGCAATTATCCAAGATTCCATCATCGTCCTGCTGAGGTAGTAATCGTCCAAGATTCCTTGATCATCTGTTTCGATTAGCAATCGTCTAAGATTCCTCCATCATCCTGCTGAGGTAGTAATCGTCCAAGATTCCTTCATCATCCTGTTGAGGTAGTAATCATCCAAGATTCCTTCATCATCCTTTTGAGGTAGTAATCGTCCAAGATTCCTTTATCATCCTGCTGAGGTAGTAATCATCCAAGATTCCTTCATCATCCTACTGAGGTAGTAATCGTCCAAGATTCCTTCATCATCCTGTTGAGGTAGTAATCGTCCAAGATTCCATCGTTATCCTACTGAGGTAGTAATCGTCCAAGATTCCTTCATCATCTTTTGGAGTAGTAAATGTCTCAAATTCCTTCATCACACATTATTATCAAAAAAAAATCTTTGCCGGTTCAGTATAAATCTCTCAATGATTTATGCTGATTCTTTCCCGCAGACACCTTCTCTGGTTCTGTCAGATTGATACTAAGATATCTCTGATTCCTATTCCAATTGAAGATATTCTGAACTTTCGTCTTGTTCAGTTAAATCAATCCTAAGATTTTTCTGATTCTTATCCAGTCAAAGTTAATTCAAGACCTCTGCTGATTCAGTTTAAATCTCTCAATAGTTTATCCTAGTTCTTTCTGGTAGATATTTCTCCTCGTTCAGATGAATTACTCCAAGATTTATTCTGATTTTTTTCCTGTTGAAATCAAGCTTAGACTTAGTCTAATTTCTGTCAATAACCACCTTTGGATGGCATCTACAAGCCCATCTCTGACAACTATCTCTCGTTTCCTCCAAATGGCATCTATATGCCCATTCACAATTCATCTTCGAGTGCAAATTTCTGGGCACTCTAGTGTTCAATCATCTTCCACCTTCAAGTCACGAATGGCGGATCCGTCAATCTAACTCTTCAGGTTTAAGAAGATTGAACAGGGGCAGTTGTTGTACCCCAAAATTTTCCCTCTCATTTCTCAAAGGATCATCCTGGACCTTCAGGTTTGTTTCTATCCAATTCCAAGCCTTGAATTACAAATTTTTCAAAAAAGTTATTCACAAGGGCAAAATGGTCATTTGCATACTGAAAAGCCAAACTTTGACTTTTGGATCAAAATCAAGTTTTAAGAATCATATTTAATCAAGGCATGTTGAAATATGAAGTTTATTTCATCAAGAAATTCAAAAGTCAAAATTACTTTGGAAAAGTTAAATTTCTAAATACTTAGAAATTTTATAAGTGTTTAAGAAATATGACAAGCTCAGAACTCCTGATCAGATTATCACCATGATGCAAGCTGATTCTGGAAGAACTTCTGACACAATATGTGTGGATCTCAATGAGATCTCAAACGTTGCAGAACAAAACTTCTCCTAGAAATGCTGGGATTTCAAGCTACAAATCCTTGAACACACGTCCATGAAACTGAAACTTTCAGCAAATTCTGGACCTTTCCAAAATAGGACTTGGTTAGAACTTCTGGGCCAGTTTTCACATAGGTTTAGTCAGAAGTTGCAAGAGCATTTCAAAGAGGACTTACAA